TCTTCTGTTATCCTGGACGGCAAAGCCTCCCTAGTGCATCCTTTTCTCAGTTCACGTCCTTACAGCTTTTTTCTAGTCCCAGGCCTCTGGACCTCCTCATGAATTGCCACCCACCTGCTGACGTCCATGGAGTCTGCTCTGAGGCACCATTTCCAGGACTCCAATTCTGTCATCTGCTGTATTCCCTGAGATAAAGTACATCTGAGGAATAACAGGGCCAAATGCCCCTAAAAATTAGGCTGAAAAAATGACAAATCTTTGGCCTAGAGAAAAGACAACAAAACACTTTTTTCCCATTAGAGAGAAGTGGGGGCTGTTGTTCAAAATACTGACTATGCCGTGAGAAACAGTTTTATGTAACTTCTACTTGTTATAAGGGAAGGTCTGAAATACTGGAGGATATATGGGAAAATAGTATAAAAAACAAAGGCATCAATAAAGCATACATGCATATATTTAACATAGATGTATATACATATTTGTATACACAAACGTATATGTATGTATGGCTGAAGGCAGCAAGCTTATTGTTATAATTATGAAGGTCATTAGGCTGCTTGTCCAAGCCCCCTTCCTTTTTCCCAGATCCAGGAAGAGGAAAAAAAAAAAAAGGAAAAACCAACAAATACGTCAGAAATAACCTGACATCTTACACGAGTATGGCCATTACTGTCGCAAGTAACATGTATCAGTTACTCTAAATGGATGAAATTCTCAACAGGAAAGTATAAAAGAAGAAGAGGGAAAAATGACAAACCTCAATAAAAATAATAATAATTATAATAATAACAATAATAGCAGCTAGTATTATATTATATAGCACTTTAAGGTTTGCAAAGTGTTTCACAAATATCTCAGCTGATCCTCACAACAACCCTGGGAGGTAGGTGCTCTTATTCTCATTTTACAGATGAGGAGACTTGAAGCCCAGAGAGGTGAAATGGTTTGCCCAGGGTCACACAGCTACCAAGGGTCCAGAGCTGGGCTGGACTTCAGGGCTTCTTTAGTCCAGGCCCAGCACTCTATCCATTGCACCAACTGCATCATCTACCTTAAATGGTCAGGAAAAAGCCAAGGAGACAGAAGCTGTTAAAGAAGTAGAAGCAGCAAGCACAGCACCTTTGAAATCAAGGGTCAAATGTCAAAAGCTTCCCAGAGGTAAGGATAAGAAGGAAAAAATGCTATTATATTGAATGACTAGATCACTGGAGCAGTTTCAGTAAAATGGCTGGGGTGGAAACCAGATTCCAAGGAAGGGAGAACGTGGTATCTGAAGACATTCAGTATAGAGTTTTGGAGGTAAAGGGCAGAAAAAGAAAAGGAATGGTAGGAGAAAGGGTGAACAGTCATGAGGAGCAGCTGATGATTTTTAAAGTACTGGGAAGCATTACCAAGCCTGCTGGAAAAGAAACTCCCAATTTCCACTAGCTATTAACTACTATACCCCACAATCTGCTGGAGTACAAAGACTCCTGGGATCATTAAGCTATGTTCATATCACACCAGCAAGATTGAAGCCCACAAAATAAATACAAGCTATTGGTTTAGAGAGAGGGATATTTATCCAACATCCAATTACCATTTGAAAAAAAGCAAATGTGAACACATGCCTGGTGCCTAATAAACACTTAATGTTTATAAAGATATGAAAATAAGGTCAAGTTTCTGGTCACTGGCTCAAAAACAAGAGAAAGGACTGGAAAGAAAGAGGGAAAAAGAGAAATGCTTCCATTTCTCTAGTCAATTCAGAGAAAGGGTAGAAGTTGGAGAACAGGGGTGTCTAGTGGCACCTACCCTATTCACAAGCACAGCTGATAGGCTCCTTTTTTCTCTATAGGCAGCTAGAAAAAAAAAAAGCAAAAACCATCAAAAGGAAAAACTCTACAGGCCCTTTCTTGTCAAACTATAGAATATCATTCTAGTTGCCTGCTCTCCCAAAGCTATAATCAAGGCCAAGTATGATACAACCTCCTACTGGCAGCCCTGAGTAGTCCGGTTAGGAAATGGGGGATCAGACGCTATTAAATGAGGTTGTCTCCTCCAAGCCACTCTACATGATTCCTTAGGGACACCATAAAACAGTAATGTGTTCTACCTGGCAATGGAAATTACTTCCTCCCCACTCCCCCAAACACCCCTGTGCTGGCAGGACTTAAGTGGGGTAAGGCTGAATTCCTTTACTGCTTCTTCCCATTCAAACAAGTGTCAGTTATCAGGGCTTGGCTACAACAATTACCAAGGAAAGCTGAATTGGGGATGGGTCTGTAAGTAGCTGGTAAGGAGCCAGTGGAGAAAGACTGAAGATGTATGAGGGGAAATTATTATTGGAGTAAGTTCTGGAATGGAAGGGATAGAATCAAGGGCAGAAGCAGAGACTTTCACCTTAGCTAAGATTAATTATGTAGTGTTGCCACGGAAAGGCTCGAGTCAGAGGAGATCAGGCTGAAGCGTCTTGGCCATTTCCTGTGTGACGCTGGGCAAGTGACTCATACTTCTGTAAAGCAGTTTCATTTGTAAAATGAAGGATTGTGCTAGAGGATCTCCTGAGGTTCTTTCTAGCACCAAATCTAGAACCTCATAACCTCTCCTCTGTGACTAAAATGGAAGCAAGCAGGCAATGGATGACTTTGAGTAGTTTAGAAGAGCGAAACTGGGGGATGAGCACTTAGAAGATTGCCACAATTTTCCCCAGAGAACCCCAAGTCTTCTAATACAAATATGGGAACTGAGGGAAATCCTTAGGAACTTGAACAGGGAAAGGTTTGCAACAACTAGGAAGGGAAACTAGGGATTTATTTTTAGGTTTCATTTTAGTTTGCAATCTAAATGTTTTACTTAAGTGCTTACTAGAGCAAAATTCTTCTGATGTTCACAATCTAAGACTGCATTCACAAAGGCTCTCCAGCACTAACGTGAGAAAAACCCCATCTCCTGGCAGATGTTCTTGCAATGATTACAATCATCAATTTGTCTCCCAAACAAATTCTATGACAATATGAGTATGTCACTGAAAACCATCCCTACATTCATGAAGTTTCTCTCTAGTGTACATTTTCAGACATTTACTAAGTTTTACAACTTTATGGAAAAACTTCCCACCCATATTTCATTCACAAGGTTTCTCTGTAGCGTAACTCTGCCAATGAATGCCTTGTCCCCTTTCAGAAGGTTTTTCCACTTTCATTATATTGATTTCTCTCACACATGAATTCTCTGATGTAGAGTAAAAGCTGGGCTCTGAGAGACGTCATTCATTGCTCAGACTGTTTCTTCCACAGAATGTTCTGAATGTTGGTAGAAATCTCAGCAGGTATGGAAGGACTTCCCATTTCAATGACCTAACAAGTAGCTGTCCATCCTCCACCAGCCATTCAACCTCCAAGGAGGGGGGCAATGCCACCTCTCAAGGCACTTCCACTTGCCACAAGTCTTCCTGACGTCAAGCCTAAATTGACTTCTTTGCAACTTACACTCACAGCCTCTGGGACCAATCAGAGTGTAATCCCTCCAGCAAACATGAGCCCTTCATATACTTTAAGGCAGCGATGATGTCTGTCCCCTCAGTCTTCTCCAAGCTAAATATACCTAATTCCTTCAGTTGATCGTCCCATGACATGGACAAAAGGACTTGGTAATCAACAACAGGCAATCAACATACGTTGATGACCCTCCTCCATAAACATCCTTCTTAAAAACTGTGGCACCTAGAATTGAGCACAATGTTCCATGAGGTTTGAGGGCAAAGAAAATTGGGACTATTACTTCCTTATTCCTGGAAGACCTAAACATTAGCATAAATCTTAACTTTTAAGTAATTTGTCCCTGGGGTGCCAGAGCTGGGACTTAAGAGTAGGAGAAAAGGGAATATAGACTCCCTTGGGAGAGGGCAAGCTCTCCCTAGACTAAATCCTGTACAGATGGAATACCTGAGTCCAGAGTAAACAGGGCCCCTTATTGAAGGGGCTGCAGATCCCAGTCCCTGTGGGGCAAACAGATTCCTTAACGGAAGTATTTCATCTTTCATCCTAGCCCCACGAAGAACATTTTAGATTTGACTCTGCCACATACTGTATTAACTATCCCTCCTAGTTTTGTGTCACCTGCAGATGTAATACGCATGCCATTTTATGCTGTCAGCCAAGTCAGTGGCAAAATGGCTAAACAGCACAAAGCCAAGGGTAAATCCCTGGAGCACCCCACTAGAGTTCCCTCCAGGCAGCTACTGATCTAACAATGACAATATGTGGGGTCTGGCCATCCAACTAGTCCTGACACCATCTATCAGCACCATCATCTATCTAGAGCTCTCCACTTTTTGCACAAGAACATGAGAAACTCTGTCAAACAATTAAAATCTCAATAAATTGTATCTTGCATCATTTGAAAGGATGACTTTGTAGTAAACCTGTCCAAAAAAATTTAATCTCTCATGATTTCTTCTTTAGGAAGCTACTCAGGTTTTTTTTTTTTTCATCAGCACTTCTGTTACTGAGTATTAAATTCAGAGAAGTGTTCTGGCAGGCCCTTCCTGCATAAAGTCTCTATCTAGCATGAATCATCTGAGGTCAAATAGATGTCTTATTTTGACAGAAGGCATTTCCACATTCAGAAGGTGACTTCTTGAGTATGAGCTCTAATGCAGAGTCAAAGTTAAGCCCTAACAGAAAGCCTTTGCAGATTCTTTATACCAATAAGATTTCTATCCAATAAGATCTTTAGTGTAGAGTAAGAGATGAGGTCAGGTAGAAGGCTTTCCCAAATTCATCACATTAGTAAGGCATCTCTCCAGTAGGAACTCTCTGATATTGAGTAAGAGCTATGCTCTAGCAGATCTCACATATGATAAATTCATTTGTCTCCAGTATGAATTTTCTGTCATTAAGTGAGGTATGTGATCCTGCTACCAGTCTCCCACAATCATTATTTCTCCCCAGAATAAACTCTAATGTTTAGTCAGGTGTGTACTCTGGCAGAGAGCCTCATATTCCTAAAATTTCTACCCACTATGAACTTTCTGATGCCGAGTAAGGTGTGTCCTGCGGCTGAAAGCCTTCCCACATTCTTCACATTGATAAGGCTTTTCTCCTGTATGAAGTCTCTGATGTCGAGTGAGATGTGTCCACCACCTGAAGGACTTCCCACATTCATCACATTGGTAAGGTTTCTCTCCTGTATGAACTCTCCGATGGTGAGTAAGGTCTGTGCTCCTGGAAAAGGCTTTCCCACATTCATCACATTCATATGGCTTCTCTCCAGTATGAATTCTCAAATGCATAGTAAGAGCTGTACTCATGCGGAAGTCCTTCCCACACTCATTACAATGATAAGGTTTCTCTCCAGTATGAACTCTCTGGTGCATAATAAGAGCTGTGCTGAAGGGAAAGGCCTTCCCACATTCCTTACATTGATAAGGTTTCTCTCCAGTATGAACTCTCTGATGCATAGTAAGAGCTGTGCTCAGGCGAAAGGCCTTCCCACATTCTTTACACTGATGAGGTTTCTCACCTGTATGAATTTTCTGATGTTGAGTAAGATGTGCCCTCTGTCTGAAGGCCTTCCCACATTCTGTACATTCATAAGGTTTCTCTCCAGTATGAACTCTCTGATGCATGGCAAGAGCTGCACTTAGGCGAAAAGCCTTCCCACATTCTTGACATTCATGAGGTTTCTCTCCAGAATGGATTTTCTGATGTTGAGTAAGATGTGCCCTCTGCCTGAAGGCCTTCCCACACTCATTACATACATAAGGTTTTTCTCCAGTATGAACTCTCTGATGCATAGCAAGAGCTGTGCTTAGGCGAAAGGTCTTCCCACAATCATTACATTCAAAAGGTTTTTCCTCATTATTCTGTGGCCTCTCTAACCTAGCCCCACCTTCTAAGGTTTCTTCCAGATGGGAGGTCTGGGGACCATAACTTGTGAGTCTTTCCTGGTATTCTTCCATAGAAATGCCCGGCTTTGGAACTGACTGTTTGATTTCAGGCCAACTCTCCCAACCTGAAAGAGATTAAAATATGTAAATATCCCATTTCATCCCATATCACACTTAAATATGCTATCTCCTTTATCAATAAAAAATGCTGTCAAACATTAAAATATAAAACATATAAGACCATGTTGTACTTGCATAGTAAGTTTTCACAAGGTCCTCAAAACACTATGAAGTATATCAGTATGAAGTCAATTATTACATTTTCCAAATGAGGAAACTGAGGATGAGAGCAATTCATGGACCAGAACAATGTCACACTGCTACTAAAGGCGGGGCTCAAACCAAGTTCACTTGAGCTCAGCTGAAGCACAAAAGAGAGCACTTATTATCTGTGGATACAAGGGGATTATTAGAACCAAAGTTTAAAAGTTAGAGAGAAGCCACACTCAGGTCAACGAAAAAAAAACACAACATTCCAATCATCAGAAATTTCCAAATCAGACAGGCAACCACATAGAAACACAGAATGTTAGCGGCATCTCTCAAGAGATCATTTAATTCCATCCCATCCAGCAGGACATCAGAGCCTACAAAAGTGTGGGGATGAAAGTAATGTATACAAAACTAATTAATCATAGGATGAAAGTTCTGACTTAAGAAGAAGAGGATAAAAATCAATATAAAATGTATACATGGAAGGAAACACAAACTGCAATAAAAATTACATTCGATAAAGAGCCACGGAAACATAAATTAAAAATTAATTAGAAACTAAATAATCCTAAAGAATGAGTGGGTCAAGGAACAAATCATAGAAACAATCAATAATTTCATTGAAGATAGAATGACAATGACATACCAAAATTTATGGGATGCAGCCAAAGTACTTAGGGGAAAATTTATATATCTAAATGCTTATATCAATAAAACAGAGAAAGAATAGATCAATGAATAGGGCTTGTAACTAAAAAACTAGGAAAAAATTAAAACTCTCCAATTCAACACCAAATTGGAAATCCTGAAAATCAAAGGAGAGATTAATAAAACTTTAGTAAAAAAAAAAACAATGAAGTAATAAACAACACTAGGAGCTGGTTTTATGGGGGAAAAGCAATAGATAAACCACTGGTTAATCTGATTTTTTAAAAAATGAAATTACCACTATCAAAAATGAAAAAAGTGAATTCACCACCAATGAAGAGGAAATTAGAGCAATTATTAGGAGCTATTTTGCCCCACTACATGCCAGTATATCTGACTGGTTAATCTAAGCAAAACAGATAAATAGTTACAAAAATATAAATTGCCATAATAACAGAAAACAAAATGAAGTATCCAAATAACCCCATCTTAATAAAAGAAACTGAACAAGCCATCAATGAACTGCCTAAGAAAAAGTCCCCAGAACCAGATGGATCCACAAGTGAATTCTACCGAACATTTAGAGAACAACTAATTCCATTACTACAAACTATTTGGAACAACAGGCAAAGATGGCGTCCTAGCAAATTCTTTTTGTGACATAAATATGATGCTGACACCTAACACAGGAAGAGCAACAACAGAGAAAGAAAACTGCAGACCAATGAATCTTGAGGCAAAAATTTTAAATAAAATGCTGGCAAGTTGATTACAGCAATGTATTGCAAAGATCATATACTATTATTAGGTGAGATTTATACCAGGAATGAAGGGCTGGCTCAATACTAGGAAAACTATCAGCATACTAACCATATCAATAACAAAACCAACAGAAATCATATGATAATCTCAATAGATGGAGGAAAAGCTTTTGACACAATACAACATTCATTCCTATTAAAAAACACTAAAAAGCATAGGAATTCATGAAGTTTTCCTTAAATTGATAAGTAGCATATATCTAAAGCCAACAACAAGCATTAGCTATAATGGAGATAAAGAAGAAGCCTTCTCGATAAGATCAGAGGTAAGCAAGAATGCCCATTATCACCACTATTATTCAATACTGTATTAGAAATGCTAGCTATACCAACAAGAGAAGAAAAAGAAATTGAAGCAATTACAATAGGCAAGGAGGAAACAAAACTATCACTCTTTGCAGATATGATGGCATACCTAGAGAATCCCAAAGAATTAACCAAAAAAGTAGTTGAAATAATTAACAACTTCAGCAAAATTACAGGATATAAAACAAACCCACATAGATTATTGCATTTCTATATAATACCAACAAATTCCAGCAGCAAGAGCTAGAAAGAGAATTTCTATTTAAAATACTTATAGACAAAAATAAAATACTTGGAGTCTACCTACCAAGACAAACCCAAGAAATATATGAACACAATTACAAAATGCTTTTCATACAAAGTCAGATCTAAACAATTGGAGAAATATTAATTGCTTATGGGGTAGGCCATGCCAATACAATAAAAATTACAATTCTACCTAAATTAATTTATTTATTCAGTGCCATACCAATCAAACTACTTTAACATTATTTTACAGAGCTATAAAAAATAGTAACAAAATTTATCTGGAAGAACTAAAGGTCAAGAGTATCAAGAGAATCAATGAAAAAAAATGTAAAGGAAAGTGGTCTAGCAGTACCAGATCTCAAACTCTACTACAAAATGGTAATCATCAAAACAACCTGGTACTGGCTAAGAAATAGATTGGTAGGTCAGTGGAATAGATTAGGTACACAATAAACAAGAGTAAAATGACATAGTATTCTAGTGTTTGATAACCCAAAGATCCAAGTTTTTAGGACTAGAAGTTAGTATTTGACAAAAATTACTGAGAAAACCAGAAAGCAGTTTGGCAGAAACTAAGTATAGACCAACATTTCACACCACATACCAAGATAACATCAAAATGGGTACATGATTTAGACTTAAAAGGCAATATAAGCAAATTAGGGAAATACAGATTATTTCAAACTGTCAGATCTATGGATACAGGAAAGATTTATAAAACGAGACAAAGAGCATTACCAGATGTAAAATGGATAATTTTGATTACATTAGTTTTTGCACAAATAAAACCAATGCAACCAAGAGTAGAAGGAAAGCAGGAAATAGAAAATAATTTTTATAGTCAGTGTCTCTGATAGAGGCCTCATTTCTCAAATATATGGAGAACTGAGTCAAACTGACAAGAACACAAATCAGCCACCAATCGATAAATGGTGAAAGAATATGAACAGGCAGTTTTCAGAAGAAATCAAAGCCCTCTAAAGTCATTTGAAAAAATGTTCTAAATCACCCTTGATTACAGAAATGCAAATTAAAACAACTCTAAGGTACCACTTTATACTTATCAGGTTGGCTAATATGACAGAAAAGGAAAATGACAAATGTTGGAGGCGATACGGAAAAACTGGTGGAGTTGTCAACTGTTCCAACCTTTCTGGAGAGCAATTTAGAACTACGCCTAAATAGCTAAAAAACTCTGCATATCCTTTGAGCACTACTAGGTCTGTATCCCAAAGAGATCAAAGAAAAAGGAAAAGGACCTACATGTACAAAACTATTTCCAGCAGCTCTTTTTGTGGTGGCAAAGAATTGGAAATTGAGAGGATGCCCATCCATTGGGGAATGGTTGAACAAGTTGTAGTATAAGATTGTGATGGAATACTACTGTGCTACAAGAAATGATGAGTGGGATGCTTTCAGAAAAACCTGGGAAGACTTACATGAATTGATGCAAAGTGAAGCAAGCAGAACCAGGAGAACATCATACACAGTAACAATATTGTATGATTAACTGTGAATGACTTAGCCATTCTCATTCAATTCTCAACAATGATCCAAGAGAATTCCAAAGGACTCATGATGAAAAGTGCTATCCAACTTCAGAGAAAGAACTAATGGAATCTGAAAGCAGATTCAGGCATACTTCTTAAACTTTATTCTTCTTGGTTGTTTTGGGTTTTGGGGGGGTTTTTGTAACATAGCTAATACGGAAATCTATTTTGTATGACTGTACATGTATAATCTAGAGTAAACTGCTTGCCTTCTCAAGGTGGGGGGTAGGGAAGGAAAAAGAATTTGGAACTCGAAATTTTAAAAAACTAAATTTAAAAATTGTTTTTACAGGTAATTGAGGAAAACTGAAATAAAAAAGCCAAATAGAGTTGATAATTAACCTCAGAGATAACATGCAGCCACTAGAGTTTACTGGCTCCCTCACTGTCAGAGACTGGGGGATTTTGAGACCAAGAGTGGAAGAAGAGGGAGCTCACATTGAATGGCTTCCGTGTGTGTGTGTGTGTTGTGTGTGTGTGTGTGTGTGTGTGTGTGTGTATTTTTAAAGTAAAGTAAGAGAAGGTTCTCAGCTGAGAGAAGTAAAGGAGGGAATGGGGGCAGGAAGAATCTTTAGTACAGAAGAAATCTGGAATAGCTACCATAGGGAGTGAGATAGGGAATCATTTTGAAAGGAATAAAAGGATTGCCTTGCTGAAGTGAGAACCCCAGTAAAGACTGGATAACACGACTTTGTAATGCACCCAGTCAACATGGTGGCAGGATTTCTTCCACGTTCATTCACCAGAGTAGAATAGAGGAAGTGGATGGTGGAGTAATCTAGGGCAAGAGAAGAGCAGCAATGAGCTAAGCAGGCAAGAGATTCAAGAGCAGAGGACAGGAGAGAGAAAATGAATGGACACAGGGTTAGGGTGGAACAGAAGGCCCAGGAAGTCGGAGCCAAAGAAAGCAATGAGAGGTGGAGAAAGCATGGATTCCGATGATCTCCAAAGAACAGATGCAGGAGGGAAGAGCCACAAGGATACGTGGATCTAAGACAGGAGACTATGATCAGACTGGGAAATGTCAGTTTCTAATCATGAAAGGGGAACACTTCTGGGGAATGGGCAGACTGCCCCACAGAACCAGCCTTTAGGGAGAGCCTCTCCTTTCTACCTCCACTAAACAACTCACAGGGGCCCCTTCCTTTACTCTCACATGCTCCCTAGGTCTTTTTTTCTTCCCTCTCCACAATCGATCTTTTGGTAGCCTCATTAGCTCTCATGGGTTTAACTATCGCCACCATGCAGATAACTCCCAGATTTACATGTTTAGCACCAGGCTCTGCCAGGAATTTCAGGCTCATATCACCATTTCACTGTTGGACATTTCAAACTGCATTCCTTGGAGACATCTTAAATTCAACCTATCTAAAATTAAGCTATTCCTCCTCTAGCTATCAAGCTTCCCTATATCTGAGGAAAGTTCCACCATCTTCCCAGCCTCAGCCCCATCTTCTACTTCTCACTCTCCTTCAGGAGAGAAAGCCTTTGAGAATAACAGGGGAATCTGGAAAGGGGGGGGAGGGGAAGAAGAAGAGGAAAGAGAATGAGTTCTGAACAAGTTGAATTTGACATGTCTATGGGGACATCTAGTTTCAGCAACCCAAAGGACAACTGAAGATGAAGGACCAGAACTCAAAAGAGAACTAAGGTGGATATATAGATCTGAGAATCATTTGCTTAGAAACTGGAGAGAGCCCAAGGAAGCTTATGAGATTACCAAGTGAGACAATCAGAATTAAAAGAGGAGGCCAAAGACAGAACCTTGGAATGCCACCCCACCCCACCCCCAGTTAGGGGCATGACATGAATCAAGAATAAGGAAAGGAGACTGAGAAGTGGCCTGACAAGAGGAGAAGCAGGAGAGAACAGTTTAACTGATAAAAGGGACATAAGCAAAATGTATACAGCTAAATAGAGATTTAAGATGAATCTCCTGATGACAGAAACAATTAACACCTATATAAAAAGGAATAAAAACGATGAGACAACACACTAAAATCTGGGGGATGCAGCCAAAGCAATCCTGAGGGGAAATGCTACCAACACCTCGACTTCATGGCTAATGGTTAGGACCCGCCAACAAGAGAAGAGTGGCAGCACTATCAAAACTATTTTACAAACTCAGCAGTGTCTCAAACTGCCAAAAGGACAACTTCTAAAGCTGAACAAAACAACAAAACGAATCTGAGGGGGAAAGATCTAGTTTCTTAATGGATGAATAACAGCAATTGTCCAGACTATGGCGTACAGTTAGACGGACCACCAAGAAAGAATTCACCAACATATTCAATGTCTTGAATAGATCTAACAGATGGATATACTAAGTTGGGCCCAGAACTGAAAATGAGGAAAACAGAGCAGACTGTCTTTAGGAAATGAACAAGGTTTTTTTAACTGAAACAAAGGCCTGTCTTTTCTTTTTCTTTTTTTTTCCTGTCTTTTCAATATTAATGTTTTATCCATGCAAATGATGGCACAAAATGTATCAATTTGACATGTAAAATGTATAATGGCAATTTTTCAAAGCGTGGAAACGTATTTCTCTCACAACCAGCTGCCAAAGGCTAGAGGACAACTCTTACAGCCCAGTCACAGGAACCATGGCGGCAGTCACAGATAGGATGGGATGGATGGCATTGTCAAACATATAAGGAACCGTTACAAATTTACAAAGATAACTTCTAGTCCATGATGGATAAATACTCAAAGAATATGAAGGGACAACTTTCAGAGAAAGAAAGGCTAATCGTTAATAATCACTTGAAAATCCACTTAAACTCACTATTCCCTGTAAGAGGACAAAAACCAGAACAAAACAAACTCGTTCTCCTTCGGCGCTGGTAAAGCCTGGCGAGAAGTCTGGAACCTATTCCTCTGAAGATCATCACCCGGGTCTGCCCCCTCCATGCCATCCTGGACTGCTCCCCGCACCCCCAACACGTCCCATTTGTTGGCACTCTGTCGCTCCTCCCCTCACGGCACCTCTCCTCTACTTCCCTCCTCTCCACTCACAGAACCACCTGCCTCATTCGGCCTGCAGCCTCCAGTCTCTCACCACCCCAAATGATCTTCCTGATGCACAGGAGTGACCAGGTCACTCCCCACCCCTGCTTAATGGGCTCTGGTGCAGGATCCGAGATGAGCCTGCCTTCCTGACCTCCCGCCCTCTAGGCTGCACCTACACTGGGGCACTTGCAGTTTCTTGAACACAATACTCCACCTCTCATCTCCATGCCTTTGCACTGCCCATCCCCATGCCTAGAATGTTCTTCTGCCCCATGGCTTCCACCTCTTCATTTCCCTGGCTTTGTTCCAAACTCCATTCAAACCCCACCCACCTCCTGCAGAGCCCAGCAGGCAATGTTTCCCTCTGAGATTACCTTCATCTACTACTCTGCATCTAGGGAGGGAATTATTTGCTGTCTCAACAATTAGAGTGGAAGCTCCATGAGGGCAAGGGACTGTCTTTACAGACCCAGTGCTCAGCCCAGAGGCTGGCATACAGCAAATGCTTAAGAAGTTCTTGCTGAATAAGTTACAAAAATAAGAACTGGGCCGCTTGATTCACGTTCACTGCCAGGAATACATCCTAGGTTAGTTCGAAAGAGCTGCACTCAAATGTGAAAAGGCTGAGACAGCAGCACTGTTTGTAAGACGTGCAGGTGCAGAGCATGGCTGTTCAAAGAAAACACAGGGCTGGAGAGAAGCCAGACAACCTCTCTGCAACTGCAGATGCTGGAAGCAGCCCAGAGAAGGCAGAAGCTGCACCAAACGTTTGACAAGATGTCACAGAAGGCTACCATCTGCTTCTTATTCTGGATAAGTGTGAGGACTACAAAGAGACTTTATGAAATGGCGTGAAGCAAAAAAACCCCAGGGGGACAGGCTTCTGTGAGGACGCCGCCATGGCAGGACAACAGAGTAGGGGGCAGTGGGCCCCGGCCCTCCTCCAGCCTGAGGGAGCAGGACGGACACTCAAAAAGGCCCTTCTCCCTCCTGGTCGTGACTCATCCCCGCTGTTACTGCCTTACCTGGACAGGGGCCTCTGGGGACATCTCCCTCTGCAATCCAGGGCTCTTCTCCTCGTTCCAACTGGTCAATCATGGCTGGCTTGGAGACAACAAGCCCTGTTCATTGGAAATGGAAAAATGCTGGTTCAGAGCCAGCTGGGGAGCCCATCCTAGTTCCCTCACTGTTTGGGGAAAGAGCAGGCATGCTGGGAGCCCCCAGAGGTGGCAGAAAGGACTGCTCAGAGATGCTCTGCTGTCTGTTCCTAGAAGCAGAAGGAATAGGGTCACAGACCAAATCTGAGGCTCACACAGAAAATTAGCTCCTTTCATCTCTGATGACTAACCAGTGAGAGCCCATCAGCCCACTCAGCCAGCCCTATCCAATGGCTGGCCTTAGAAAGCAGCCATGTCTTACCTTCTCACCCCATCCAGGTGCCAAGCTGACCACCCACTCGCGGCTGCTGCTGTCCTCCACCTCCCCCATCAGGAGTGGCCCCTCCAAGCTGAACCTGGACCTCAAGAATCCATGCCTCCCATCTCTGGGGCAAGAAAAGACTGACCCTGCCCTTACCCAGAAAGACCAGGTTCTGGTAGTTCTCTAGCATCACGTCTCGGTAGAGCGCCTTCTGATACGGGTGCAGGTGCCCCCACTCCTCCTGGCTGAAGCCCACAGCCACATCTCGGAAGGTCAGTAATTCCTGAAACACCAGACAGATTCATGCTACCCAAAGGTCACTCTTAACGTGAGCCCGAGAGGAGAAGCAAGTTCGCTGAGAGTTCCAGGCTGTGGTTCAACCAGCTTTGTCAAAAAGCTTTGTCTCTAGGGGCAGCTAGGTGGCACAGTGGATGGAGCACTGGCCTTGGATTCAGGAGGACCTGAGTTCAAATCCAGCCTCGGACACATAACACTTACTAGCTGTGTGACCCTGGACAAGTCACTTAATCCCACTGCCTAGCCAAAAAAAAAAAAAAGCTCTGTCTCTGATTCTGTGGCACATGGGAGTCATAAGCACTTTCCAAAAAAATAATTCAAGAATTATTTAAAGGAACTCATTTCTAAGTATTAAAAATCAGGGCATAAACCCTCCCCATGACGTCAACCCCCCCCACACGCTTCCATTTACCTCGGACTGTTCTCAGGGGGGCTCATCCCTTCTTTAGCTTAGTCCAAGCAAGATTCTCGCCTTACTTCTTCTCCCCCCCCCGTTTTGGTGAGGCAGTTGGGGTTAAATGACTTGCCCAGGGTCACACAGCTAGTAAGTGTCAAGTGTCTGAGGCCACATTCGAACTCAGGTCTTCCTGACTCCAGGGCTCTATCTGCTGAGCTACCAGCTGCCCCCATTGTCATGTGACAGTACCACAATTCCAAGACAATGTTTAAATTAGCCAGGAACAGAACTGCTCGCTCCCTCTTACTCTCAAGCTTAGCAGACTGATTAGCTTCCAACATCACACAGCGAAGTTTAACCAAAGTATTCTTTCTGGAAAGACTGGAATGCTGAAGGTAGAATCCGTTTATTCAAGAAAATTTATTTAATAAATGCTTCAGGACTGATGGTGGGAATTGGCCTCGAGATTGCTAAACTCCCTTCTCCCTCAGTGTGTCCAGTCCACAAGTAACAGCCCCAAAGTCCTGGGTCACAGCAAAGGGCAACCACCAGGACTGCCCTTCAGACAGGACATTTCAAAGATGGAACTCCCACTCACCTGGTGGAACCTGGTTGTCAGGAGGTCAGAGGCCATTGCTTATACCACTAAGGTCCCACCACTTGTCATGAGAAGGTAAAGGTGGCTGCAGGGAGGCCTGCAGAAATAAAGAAAACACAATTATCCCTCCGTATCTCCAGGATTGGGGATATGGCATCCCCCAATCTGGAAAATCTAGGTTCCCCTCATACCAAATAAATCTGAATTATTATGGCATTATAAGATAAAACATGTTGATATTATAAAATACTATACATATATTTTGTGCATTTCTGAGTTTCTAAACTTTTTCTATGTCATCTGCTGGTCTTGGGTCATCTGGGGCTTCCACAACATTCCCAAAAAATTCTCATTTAATTTCTTATGCCTACCCATTATATATTGAAACCCCAACAGAAAAAGTCAAGATGTGGAAGGGACAACTGTAGTGACAGACTTGCTCTGCTTTCCAGCTCCCAGGCTCAGACCCACCCCATCCTCACCCTCCCACTCACACAGCCTCCAATCTAGATGGGAGGAGTTGAGCTCCTCCCAGGGAGGAGGGGTCCCAGTGGGAGGGGCCTAAGGAAGAGAGGTCCAGGGGGCTGGGGAGCCGGAGGGGGGAGGGGTCTCTTCCAGCCTGGGTCCTGCAGTAAGGGGGCTCAGAGGATCCAGAGAAGAACCAAGGTGGGAGGGCTGGGGAGAGAAAAAGGGGTGTCTGAGGGAGACTAGGGTGGGGGTTTTAGGGGGGGAGCCTGGGAGAAGGGGATTTGGAGGAAGGGGTCCCGGGGAGAGGGGTCTGGAAAGTAAGGAAGGACTAAGGAGCATCGAGGGGGCAGGGAGGCCTGGGGGTGAGGGAAAGGGTGTTTTAGGGGAGGAGGCTGGAGGAGTTGGGGGACGGGACTGAGGGAAAAAGTTTGGGAGGTTCTGGAGAAATGAGCTCCTCGTAGGAGGCCTGGAGGAAGGGACTCCTGAAAGCAGAAGGGGAGGAAGGTCCAGGAGAATGAAGGGATCTTGGGGGGAAGTTTGGAGGAGGGGCCCTGGGGAGGTCCAGGATATTGGGGGGGGTCGGAGCCTGGGGAGGTCGAGGAGATTAACGGTGTCCTAAGGGGAGGAGAGTTGAAGAAGGAGGATCTCCAGGAGGAAGGGGGCTCAGAAGGTCCAGGAGATTGAGGGGGAGGAGGCTCCTGGAGGATGCAAGGGATTGGGGTGGTCCGCGGAGGGTGGGAAAAGGGGGCTCCTGGAGGGAGGAGGCTCGGAGGATCCTATGAGAAGAGGACCTGGGGCGGTCCAGGAGATTGAGGGGGAGGGGGCTCCTGGAGGGTGCAAGGGATTGGGGTGGTCCGCGGAGGGCGGGAGAAGGGGGCTCCTGGAGATCCTATAAGGAGGGGCCCTGGGGAGGTCCAGGAGATTGAGAGGGGCCTGGGGAGATATACAAGGGAAGACTCTTGGAGGGAGGGGCGCCAGGAGAGAGGGGGCTCGGAGGGTCCAGTTAATCGAGGGGGCACGGGAGGGGGGGGAGGTTGAAAAAGGCTCGGAGGATCCAGTGAGGAGGGGGCTTCTGGGGAGGCTCAGAGGACTGGGGGGGTCCCGGGAAGGAGGGCGCTCAGGGCGGGGAGACCAAGGGTCGGGGGGCCCCAGGCGGGGGTCCCGAGCCGGGCGGGGGTCGGGCTCCACACCGCCGGTCCAGCCCGTGCGGGGCTCCCGGGATGCTTGGACGCCGCCCCCAGCGGCCTGGCCCGGAGGAGCAGCTCACCACGTTGGTCCGGACGGGGCGGGGCCGTGCTCCGCCGGCAGGGCCTGGCTCGGGTCTCGGGCGGGTCCGGAGAGGTCCGGAGAGGTCCGCACTGACCGCTTTCACTCCGGCCTCTGCCACTCGGCAGCCGCGCCTAGCTGAGGTGGCGCGCAGGCAGGGGGCGTGCATGATTTCCGGTAACGTAGGCGTCCAGGGATCGGAAACCCACGTGGGGTCCGCCTCCTGTCCTCTCGGGCGGGCAAGGCCTTCTGGGAAACGTAGTCCTGAGGCCGCGGGCAGCTGGTGCGCATGCTCCCGAGAGCCCCACCTGGGGGCCTAGAAGGGCACCACGTGGGAGGTGGGGCCTGGGCTCCGCGGCCTTGAGTCTCTTTTACTCTTCCAGGATGGCAGGAACAGCCTGGAGGTGGTAAATGGGTCGTCAGTTAGCCCGAGCTGCTCAGCGCCCATTGGCCAGCGCGGGAGGCGGGGCTAGAACATTGGCCCAATCAGAGGTGAGTCTGCGGAATCCTCCACGTGCTCTCCCAGCCTTCTCTTCCCTAACCTTTCCCGGCCAAGATGCAGTGTGTCCCAAAAGTTTTAGTGCACTTTTCAGCCATGGAAGTTTGATGTTTAAACTACTAAATACTGATTGATCACGATTAACTTATTTATCAATTATTAAATTAACATCTAAGCTATTAGCGTTATTAGAGCTTAAAATGATACAAAGACTTTGGGGTCACCCTGTATACGACCAGAGAGATAAATTCTTCAAGTATATGAACTGCCATCTGAAAGAATGCTCCACATCACTGATAACAGGCTCCCCAACCCTGAGGTCTCATCTCCAACCCTACAAATTGACAGATGACAAAAGATGGAATAGTCAGTGTGGGAGGCCTGTGGGAAGTCTGGTAAATGTTTTAACTACTGACTTTCTAGAAACCACGATACACTTTTCAGTTTAATCTGCATCATGAACATTTTCTCCTTTACTTTCTTAGCTCTAGACAATCTACAAAACAATAAATCAAGCCCTGTTTTGGAGTGTTGGCCATTTCTAAGATGTAACTTCACATTGAAAATTTAACAATCAGCTTTCTTAAGGTGGTTTGAATGGGCTCCAGCATATTCATAGGCACGCTAGTACATCGTTGGTGGAGCTGTGAAACTATATAACCATTTCAGAAAGCAAACTGGAATTCTGCAAATAAAGTGAGTAAATGTTCCTACTCTTTGACCCAGGGATTCCATTACTACGTTTATGCTCTAAGGAGGCTACTGACATCATCATCATCATCACCATCAACATCAGCAGCATCATTGCATTTATACAGTTCCTGCTATATGCCAAAAACTACAAATAATATCTTATTCTACCTTCACAACAGTCCTGGGAAGTAGGTGCTATTATTATCCCCACTTCACAAATGAGGAAACTGAGGCAGAGGTTCAGTAACTTTCCCAAGGTCACACAGCTAGTAAGTGTCTGTGGCTGGATTTGCACTCAGGTCTTCCTGACCCCGGAGCCAGCATGCTACTGCATCGATTAACTGCCTTACTGATGTGAAGCAAGTCTCTACATAACATCAAAATATTTGGCAAAGAATTAGAAACAAAGTAGATGCCCCATCAACTGGGAAATGGCTAAACAAAGTATGGCACGTGAATGTTATGGAATATGATGGTGCTGTATGAAAATGACAAATATGACAAGTGCAGAGAATTGATACAGAGTGTAGTAAGCAGAGCCAAGAAAATAATATAACAGTCTATGCAATGACTTCAACAATGTTAATGGGAGAGACAGCCACCACAAAACCATGGAAAGCAAATGTTACAAAATGACCACGAACAGCTATGGCTCAGGTGAGAACCAAACTGACTTGATTTTGTGAACAGCCTCCATCTAGAGACTTCGTTTTCACTTTCCTATAAAACACCTGATTTCGAGGTATTATACTCATTCACTCACCATCTCAAAAAGTCCCAAATCTTTCCTCCAATAAGGGATGAGGTTACTCAAGACTTACATCCTGTCTCTTTGTTTTCTTTTAATGTATAAGTATCTGTGTAAAATCTGCATTTGGGGTCCTTGTGCCCAATTTGTCCTTCAATTACATGCTTTGCTAATAAATCACATAGTTTGGCCTTTGTTTCCTAAGTTATTATAAAATTCCTCGTGACAAACTAAAGAATAAATACGTGACAAACTAAAGAATAAATATGAATAATAATAACTGACATTTATATAGCACTTACTGTATGTCAGGCAGGGCTCTAAGCACTTTACAAATATCTCATTTGATCCTCACAGCAACCCTGGGAGACAAGTATATTATTATCCCCATTTTCTAGATGAGGAGACTGAGGCAGAGTTAGATGACTTGTTCCAAGGTCGCACAGGTAGTACGTGCCCAAGGCCAAATTGGAATTCAGGTCTTCCTGACTCCAGGTCCAATTCTCTAACCACTGCGTGCAACCTAGCAAACCCAGACAGGCATGGAACATTATCTGTATTTTCAGATTTTTGTGAGATATGGATCCATTTTTCTAATTTATTTCTATCATTCCTGTTCTTGATTTCTTTTTAAAATATTATTTTGTTATATAGAATGGTTATGGGAGGGTAGGAAGAAGACAGATTCAGGAGGAAAGTTAGGCAATGCAAAAAAAAAAGATATCAATAAAAATTATATTGAAAAACATCAATTAGCTTTTACAATGATAAAACGTGCAATAATAAAAGGACAAACATTCTTCCCGACGCCTTGGGTCATACTCTCTCCTAACCCCCTCAGCCTCTAGAGAGACCATGCTGACCGTGAGCACAGGTTTTCTGCATATCGTTCATCCCATCAAGTTTACAAACAGATGGGATGTAAACGGTACATGAATCTTCCTTTTCACTGTTGTTGTTTATCCATTTTTGAAGAGGACCAATGACATCACAGGATGTGAGGACGTGCACATGAATTGGATTTAAGGGAGGCAGAGTTGTACAAAGTCATCAGCCTCACTCTCTCTACCACAGTAATAAGTTCAGGATGATTGGAGATGGCCCAGGATGCAATGGATGACCTTGGCATCTTTGATGTCTGACCAGGCTCTAAGTGCTTCCCAGTGCCTGCTTCAGCTGCCTTCGTGGCCATTGGAACAAATTTTTCTCATTTGCCCATTCCATTAGGGGAAATCTGCACGTGCTTGGGGTAGACAACCCCCCTAACTAGCCAACAGGTTTGTGGCCCTTCGGTTACCCTCAGCCTGGTTTAGCTCATCTGCCAAGATGTTTTACCAGGGTGTGGCTGCTGTGCATGCTACAACTTCTTGGAGCCACAGGTAAGAGTTGAATGGCAGCTGGATACCAGAGGTGGCTGAGCAGCCCTGAGAAAGAGCTCGGCAGCCCTGCCACCAGAGAGGCTAGTCCTCTCTGAACACCCCAGGGCTACCGCTGGGCTGAGTCCCAAAGGTGGTATCTCGTTCTTCAAGGCATCAATGCTGAGCTGGCTTCAAGACCCAGATGCTGGGACACCTGAACTCCCACGTGCTCATTCTCCTGAGCTTTTGAAACTCATGAGATGATGGTTTCTAATCCCTTTGCCTAAAACTGAATAGCACCCATGCAGAGGCAAAGGATTGAGCTCCATTTTGAGGTGCCACATGGCAGCCTCAGTGAGAAGGGTCCAGGGCCTTTCCCCTACAGCATTGTCTCTTACCAGATGTCCTCAGCAAAAGAGTCAAACTGAGAAAGAGCAGTTGAAGGGGAAAAGCAGAGGCTCTGGTGGCTGGTGCTTTCTGAAGGCAACTCCAGTTCTTGCTGCCTAGCTCATGCCTAAGACTTCCAGCAGACCAGAACCAGTGACAAGATGTCTACACATGCTCAGTTCTCCCCAAGGCGCTTCCATTACTTATCATTACAACTCTTCCAGAAGCAGATTCCTCAGGCTCTTCCACATCAGAAGTCAGGAGAAGGCTCACCTAACAAAAGCACAGTCAAACCTTGGAAGACCATGTCTAAGAGAATGCCATTGTCATTAAAAATGGCCATGGTTGAATGTGTGCACTTGGTCTCGAATCAAGATCTGGAAAGGCTGAGGCCACTACATTCGCATGAGCAAATGAAGAGAGAACGTGGATGAGCACAGACAAAAATGATGCATCCTTTTCAGTTTTAGGAAGGGCAGAAACCATAAGGCTATGCTAGCCTTAAGACTGAGTGAGAACGTAAGATCCAAAGTGAAACACGCATCCTCTCTGCAGAATGGAAAGTCGAATCCAGGAAATGATGCCTTTAGATGGCAAAATGATGGGAATCCCAGCTATCTGGGGAATTACGGACAGGGATAAAATAGGTGATGAAATGAGCAAGACCCTGTTGGGGGGAAATATGGTCCAAATTAGAGCAGAGAGGAACACCTGTGAATCTACTCATGGCACATCATTTTCAGAATTTACTAGGCTGAGAGAAAAACCGGATCTCAGCCTCAGAATCAAAGAAACAGTAAAAACTTCTGACCACAAGTACAAGTCAATCAAGTTGAAACTGGTGGGTCTTCCGGACTATGGCTACAGCCCTTCAGGAATATTTGCTGGGCTGCATTTCCCAGGGGCTCCCCAGAGTGATGACTGGGGCACTGGGTTAGAAGTATGGCTGCTGCCAAGGCTCTTTGGTTCAGGGTCCTGGGCTGCGTCTGACAGTGTCTGAGGGCAAATGGTGGTTTTAATTAGCATCAAAGCAATCTAGGCAAAGAATGGATCCTCACTGCTCCTGGTCTTGTTTTTTGTTATTTGTCAAGAACACAGAAGGGAAGGGGGGAAGTGAATAAATAATGTGTGGCAGAAGGCGATAAAAAAACAAAAGGTCAGGCTTTCTGTCTAATTTGCCAGGGCTCACTCCTGGCTACAGCCTGAAGCCAAATGAGAGAAAATCCTATTGTGATTGATGCTTGTTATAGTTTATAAACCTCCTAAGAGCCACTTAGAAACCATATGAATCTGGAGCATTAGTCCTGGGCGGTGTCTGAGACGTAAGGGTGTAGCTTTAAGTGGTAGAAAGAGTCTGGACTCAGAGACAGCAGTGTCAGGCAAGTACACCCCCCAAATGTCCTATCAGGATAGGACACCAGCTAACCGAGAGAGGGAGTGGAGTGAAAGCTGTAATTAAAGGAAAGCCATGTTCAGTA